CCCACAGTCAGATACAGACAGTGTTACTGTGAAACTGGACACCCAGAGGACTTTGTGAGAGTAAATGTGAGCTGAAGTCAGTCACTCTCACTGTGAACTAATCTTAGAAAGTTAGCAAAGCCGTTACACTCAAACAACCAGTTAGCTGGTTCTACAGTGCAGCTAATGATATGAGCTAGTTAGCTGTTGCTAGCAGTGATGGGGGGCGGAGCAAAGGAGTCAACAAACAAACAAAATGACAACATAAATACATGGATATTAACCCCTTCATCCCCATGAAGGAAAGGAGAAAGGGCTTCAGCATCAAATAACGTGAGTCAGGTACACCCTTTGTCTGTCTGTCTGTCTGCTCCCTGGTTTCTACTCTTGGTTAAATGTCCTGCTGTGTGTGTGCATTTAACTATTTGCTGTGTGGTTGTTATGGAAGTTATAATGTCCCTTTTTTGTCAGGACACAGCCAGCAGGGCTTTTTAATACATGTTTCTTCAGTCACCTGTTGGCTGTGTGTGACTGTATATTTGTGGCTGTGCAGGGGGTCTGGTATTTGCTTCTGATATGTTTTTTTGTTGTGTTATGGATCAGTTTAAATAAGGATATTCTTGGCCTTCCATGGCCTTTTCATACATGCATTGTTATTATTATTATTTTTTTGGTGTACTTTTCGTCTTATTTGTCATGTGAAATTCCCAGAATGTTTCAGAATAAACTGGGCGATGTTCTTGCTCCATTGTCCAACAATGTCTAGGGCAGAATGTGTAGTGAAATATTATGTTTCATGCTCCTAGTGTTGTGCTAAAAGACAAGTGTTAAAACAAAGAATAAGAAAAACGATTTAAGGATTTACAACTGAGGATTTTTGGCCTGTTACAAAGTGCAGGCAGTCTCTTGATGGAACAGAAACTGAAACAGTTTGCTCTGACCTCACTTGCTGGCTGAAGACGTGCATAGCTTTGTAGATGTGTTTCTTGACAGGTTTTTAATTATTGAATGATGTCCTGATCCTGCAGGGGCTGGCATCAATCCCTCCTGCCCTCTTCGTCACCTCGGCATCGTGCCACTCCTTCAGGGAGGGTCGCTGACAGCTCATGCAGCGCTGGAAATGTGCCTGAGCTGAGGTTTTATGTAGATGACTAAAAGAATAACAAGATAATAGGCTAATTGTGATTACTATATTTATCCATGAGTCATGGTGAGCTGTGTAATTCTGAAGTGGGATTTAAGACAATCAATAAATCAAGTGACTTTTGTGACAGTTCAAAGACCAGACCGTCAAGAATAAGAAAAGAAAAACAACATCTAGGATTTTAATGGACCTACCACAGTTTCTCTTGCGTAGTGCTCTCCTCAGGGGTAGAAAGCCTCTAATTTAAAGTACTCTGGTTACTGAAACTGAGCTGAATGTCACTGAACCAATGTCACTAGTCAACTTTTAACAACGTTTATACCCATGTGTGATTGTGGAAGATGTCATTCCCAAACCACAGGCACTTATCTGCTGTTCCAGCCTCCACGCTTCTGGTTTTAGGCGCTCCACCAAGTTTTGGAACCTGGCTGCAGAGATTTGTTCACATTAAGCCACATGGTCATTAGTGAGGTCTAACACAGATGTTTGGTGATACAGCTTGGCTCACAATTTGTGTTCCAGTTCATCCCAAAGCCGTAGGATGGGGTTGAGGTCAGGGCTCTGTAGGCCATTTCTTCACAGACCTGGCTTTATGCACAGGAGCAGATCCACATATCTGCCAGGAACATGTTTGACTGTAATAAATGACTTTTCCCACTAGATGGGGCTGAGCCATTGAAAGTGCTCCTGGTCCAAGAGAGGTTTGTTCTTTTTAGACTTGAGTTTAAGGG